GATTTATAGCCCCTATAATTACCCATATGAATACCAATTAACTTTATCATATTATATAATAATATATATAATAATTATATAATTTTATATATATATATATATATATATATATATATATATATATATATATATAATAATTAAAAAAGTCAGAGGAAACCAAAGTTTGACCGTTGAGAGCGAATGGAAAAAACTCTGGGTGGAGAGTATCTGTTCCCTTTATAGACAATAAAATCGGCTCTGATTGGTTGAAGGTTTAAACAATGCCCAGGTTAACGGTTCTCAAAATATTCACAATGATTGTATGATGCTCTATGAATAGACATCATATTTTGTACGTAGAATACATTTCGTATGTACAGAAACGATTCTGATTTGAATTTTGATTGAGACTTCTCTAAAAAATTCTCATTATCAGCAAAATACGCTAAGATAAGCATAACTGAGCGTTGAAATGAACGTTTCATTCGCATTTTTATTTGGAGATTCGACAAGATTAAACAAGATTTCAAATGTTTCAATTAAATTTCCACATAGTTTTTATAGGAAGGCACCAAAAAAAAGTCATGTCATTTGTACATTTTGATCAAATATAATATTCTTCTGTTAATTTAATAATTTATATATAAATTCTAAAAAAAATATATACAGAGCCAATTTATACCGTCCACCTTCCAGATTCCTTAATATAAATCTGATTAACCAATTGAACAAATGATTAATCGATCCCGTTGATAAGTGGTTTCGATTTTCGTAGCAACATTTTCTACGTATATAAATATAATTTATATATTATATTATATTATATTATATCTAACACTTTCGCCCCAGCCCCTCAACCTCCGACGTCTGGGTTGAGATGTTTACTCGAACCGAACTTAAGGGAGTGGCCATAGCTCCCCTAAGCATCCGTAGATTATTTGACTGGTCCGCTGGTTTAATCCTGCTTCCTGCCCATGTTGTGATTTGTTTGATCCAGAAAGCAGAAGTGATGTCCGTCCATTCAAGGTCGACTGAAGATGTAGACACGGCTGGGGAGTCTGCGCTAAGAAATTTAGAATGCAGCAAAAAAAAAAAAAATGAATATCTGCAGAAAGCCGGACATACATCGATTCAATGGTTGAATTGGTAATGTCTTTTATATAGCAGAAAACAATACTAGAGAAAAGAAAAGATTTACAGAAAAGAAAAGTATTTAACGTAAAAACTCATACACTGAATTCTAGACACAGAGAGAGGGTATGTGATTAACTTGTTGTTAAATCGTCTCAGAACGATATATGACCCTTGTGATGGAGGGATAAAGATTTCAGTGCGGGGCTTAAAGTTATAATGGCGTTCATCCTCCCAACGATTTCCCGGGCCAATTCGCTCTTCAAGAATTTTCTCCAGTCTGCCTTTTTCAGCATAACTACGCATTTATATAGATAAACCCGGTTGGTTATAACTATCCCTCGGCCCTACTACTTCGCATGCGATTATCACGGGGTTCTGGCTGCTTCAACCAAAATCATGTGAATTCCAAAGTTCCTTCTAGCTTACTCAGCTCTATTTCAATTTTTAATCGATAAAAATTATTTCGACCATTTCCATTGCCCTCAGATTCCCCATATTCAATGGGTACAACTTCTGCCCTAGATCATATTTCCCCATCAGTAATCAAAATGCTCTCATTTAATTTCACTATTCAAATCTACTTCAATTTCACTATAAAAATATACGTGTGTGTGTGTTTCCCAGACTCTCCCTGTCAGATATATATTATATTATATTACATTATATATTAATATAAATATACATATATATTTGGCATTTTTTGGCCATTTTATTGTATTCACTTTTCATGTAAACAAAACAAACCAGAAACCCAGAAGTAAGAAGGCCTCTACCCAGGAGGCCGAGGGTTAATCCTACCGGAATTTATCTGGTCTAGAGTTAATGACTTGTGTAGATAGCTCACAAATTAACTTCAAATTTGGGTTAGCTTAAAACTGATAGAATTTAATAATAAATATTCGTTGCCAAATTATTAACGCTTTTCAAGGCATTTACTCGTCGTGATTCCGAATGTGATACATACTTTCAACTTCAAAATAGATTAAAACAAAAAATAAACCTTTAATAACATTAACTGAGAAGACGGCCGTATTTGGAAATTAAGACTGTCTACTTTCTGTAATTTTTATATCGTCCACAATTGCATATACACACTATTTAGTATAGTATTAGAACTATATAAGTCATATAAGTATATGTTAGAACTATATAAGTTACATATTATATAAGTTCACGCTGTTTTCCAGAAGATGGCGTTCCCAGAAGTGCGTGCGTGTTGTTTCAGATAGTAACGCATCTATAAGGAAGTAGTGTAAGCATTCTTGAAATTCAGTGTATGTCATTTCGCCGAAGTGTAAACAACTTAGCGTTAAACATGTCGGATTTTGTTCCAAAGAAAGTGTATTTGTGGGGAATTTTATTAGACTAATTTATTCAAAACAAATCTGCAGCTGAAGCACACAGAATTCTTGTTGAGACTTACGGCGACTATGCTCTGTTAGAAACAACATGCAAAGATTTGTTTAGACGCTTCAAAAATAATGATTTTGATGTTGAAGATAAAGAACGCACTGGCGCACCGAAAAAAGTTTTAAGACAAAGAATTGGAGGCATTACTTCATGAAGACTCATGTCAGACGCAACCTGAACTTGCAGAATCATTAGGAGTTGATTCCAAAAGAGTTTCGGAACGTTTGAAGGCATTAGGAATGATTCAAATGCAAGGACATTGGTATGAGTTGAAGCCGAGTGACGTCTAACGGCGACTTGTCAACAGTTGCTTCAACGGCGGAAAGGAAATGTTTTTTGCATGGTGACTGGCGATGAAAAGTGGATATACTACGACAAACTTAAGCGTTGAAGATCGTGGGGTACACCCGGCCGTGCATCAACATCAGCCTCAAAACCGAATATCCATGGTTCGAAGCTTTTGCTCTGCATTTGGTGGGATCAGCATGGGTGTAGTTTATTATCAGCTGCTCAAACAGATCGAAACCATACCGGGAGAATGCTGTCGACTACAATTGAGGCGTTTGAGCTGAGGATTTTAAACAAATATATCAGCAGAGACATGGCAAAGTCATTTTCCAGCAGGACAACTTTAGGCCACATGTTGCAAAACGGCTGAAAATCTACTCGGAAACGCTTAAATGGGAAGTTCTACTTCACCCGCCGTATTCACCAGACATTGCTCCGTCCGATTATCACATGTTCCGGTCGATGGCACATGGCCTGGCTGAGCAGCACTTTTATTTTTATCACACTAACACATGTGATTTATAGTGGTGAAGGTTTTGTGCAGAACCATCCACACTTTTTGAAGGGCTGATTACAGAGACCTGGTGCACTACGTGCCACAGGGACCCCAAACGACCCTCCGCAGGTTTTCTATTCAGAGTTGTACTTCTCATAGACCAGTTGCCATCCAAGGCTGTCCTGCTATTTTCCCATAGCTGAAGGGAGAAGAGGAGGACTCATACCATTCACAATTGTATTAGCACATAAGTGAATGTAACGGATTCGCCTAAAATTCGAACGCCGGAAACACACACACACACACACACACACACACACACACACAAGTGTGCGTGTGTTTGTGCGTGTTTCAAGGTCGATTATTTTTATGCAAAATCTGTTTTGCGTTTTATCGGGAGAGAAAAATATTTACTGACGCATTAATCTTATTTCCCAATAATAAAATCAAATTATGATTATCCTACTTGCTGTAAGATCAAATTATGATTATTCAATCAGCTATAAAATTTTTAAAAATTATAACTTTTTTTTTCAAGAATATTTTTTGTTCCACATTGGCCGTAGAGTTTCCTCTTGACAAGAAACAAGGTAGAATCGGTCCAAAGTAGAATCAGTCCAAGAATATGTCCAAGACTTGGTTCGTTTGCTCAACAACCGAGAAAATTCTTTTTCAATTCTTCATTCTTTTCTGTCTGACATTTTGCTCAGAGTAAATAATTCATCCGATCTTTTTTTTTCCAGTCTTTCTGTTTACTGTAGAACAACAAACATCTCAGTTTCCGTTTCTCTGGGAAAATTTTCAATCCACACATGAACCAACCCCCGTTCTAGCTCTTTAATTTGTCACGGATCTCTTCATCAAACTGATCAATATGTACAGAGTAAAATCTGTAACTTATTAAACCTAATATTACATATGCTTAGAAAATATCTTCGCTTTCCTGTCGTAAAAATCTTCCCTTTATTTCTTGCGATTTTCTTTGCTTTTTCTTCTGCTACTCTTTGGTCCGAGCTTCCAGTCTTACTGGGAGTGCAAATGTCGATCGCATTTTAAACACAAGACTAATTTACTCGACCACTTATCCAATTGAAATCAGAAAAGAAGAATATAAATAGGAAGAATAACAAACAGAAGCACAAAAGCAAATATTTGCTTGTTTCCTCATTAGATCTTGAGTTGTGCTTTTTAGAGCTAATATTACCTACTCTAGGTGAATAGTTTGACATGGGATTAGATTTATAATGTTTGAGTTTTCGATTAAAAGAAAATGTTCTTCATCCTTGTATACAGAATAACTCGTCAATACAAGCACCAGATCAGAAAAACTATGAAAATAGGAAGAAGTACTTAGTTGTATTAAAGAAAGTAGCGAATTCGCGATTCAATCGACATTTGTAAAGGTGGACAAGACAGAGAGTATTATATATTTATACTTACTTTTGGCCTTTGGCAGGAAAATAAACATGAAAATGACAAAAGTTATGCCATATACTAAATATGTCATATATAGATGGCAGAAATATTTGCGTATTTACAACTGATGCCCGTGGTTGATTTTGGAGTGTGAGATAAAATGACAGGACTTCCATTACTGATTTTAAGTAAAGGACACCAGCACTTACAGATTTAGCACAAATCTATATTTCCTTCAATGTGGTATTGAACTGGGATTAGCTAAGTACATTTTAACAAACGGACAGACAGACAGATAGATAGATAGATAGATAGATAGATAGATAGATAACAGAGATTTCGCACGGAGCTATATTTTTCCACGCTGCATTATACCATGCTTAGCCAAATAAACATTATTTAATTAGATATATAGATAGATCTGTACAAATGGATAGACAGATATATCCAAACACACACACACACACACACACGCACACACACACACACACACACACACACACACACATATATATATATATATATATATATATATACAAGCATAGGATTTGTGTAGGCGTAATAAATTCCAATAACCAAAAATATAATTCTTAAAGGAGTTCCCAATACAGAGTTGAGCAGATATTATTTATTCGAAAATTATAACATAAATAAGTTATAACACCACTACAAAAATAGCCATTTTGTTTCAACACTTTTGGTGACTTATCAATTGACATTCAACATCATCACTTAACAAGACACCAGAAGTGTTTAAACAAAATAGCTATTTTTGTAGTGATGTCATAACACACACACACACACACACACACACACACACACACACACACACACACACATACATATATATATATATATATATATATATATAATCGGTATCACCCAAGTAAGCCATTACAGCCACAAACAAACAAGGGGTTACGGAGTGTAGAGGAATTAAGAACAAAAATATTAGTAAAGAGGAGGAGGAGAAAGACAAAATGGCAATCAAGAGAGCAGTAAATAGTGATTGTCATTTCATTTAATTTTTTTTAGGTTTTTGGAACTACTTGGTTGGACAACATGGGTTCGGACAGACGAAAGGTGCGAGAACAGAAACTGTAAGCATAGACGTTACGGCGACATCTAACCAGCTCAAGTGTAAATTGATGGAATCTCAATGCCAGTCTAGTATTGCGCTGAAATGTATACAGTCTAAGTACCATAGCGAAGAGCTCACCCGAACAATTACCATGAAATTATCTATAATAAGTGAACAGAGAGGCAACGTTATGGTGGTGGGAAACTGACAGAAACCAAGCCATCAGATCAGGGCCAATAATATTGCTGATCTTCTTTGGATCTTATCAAGGAGTTCCAGATAAGCAGCAGGGGCACCGAAATATATATAGCAGTAATATTCTCAGCATGGAAGAATGGTAGACTTATAGATATACAAGACATGACACACGATGAACCGACTTTCTTAGACGCTGACCTAGCAATGGATGCAATATAGTCTTTCCATTACAGCTGAGAACGTTAGCACGAGGAGGCGTAATGAGTGATTTTCTTGGAAGATAGCATCAGCCATGCTGATGGAAAGCAGACAGGAGTCTCTCAGATGATTAATGGAGAAAAGTTTTGTTTGAGAGGCGGTAAAATTGACAAGCCATCTTTTGCCCCAGTTAAGAACAGTCTTGATGTTATTTTGAGGATCGGCTGCCATTTTCAGATTGACTTACTATCGAGGCAGGATTAATGTTAGTGTCGTCAGCGTATATTGAAAGCTGATATCTTCGGGAAGTTTGCTATTGAAGATTAAAAACACTGTAGGGCGACGGATGGAGCCATGGAGGACACCTACGTTAGTACGAAATGATGTAGACGAGTGGCCGTTCAGGATAACTTTCATTTCACGATTTGATAGGTGTTGTGGATTCCGGGATGAAATCCTGTACCAATAAATAACAAATGCCAAGAATGAATATAGGAAAATAATGTATTAACGTAATAATACAAACTGGTAATGCAGGTTAGTAGTTCCAGGAATACGGGTTAGTTGCAGAATATTTATTCAGTCTTTGATATTGAAGTATCGCTGCATGACTTCTTACTGAGTCTACGTTTAACTTACGTATATATGATACTCCTGACTCTATCCTTCGAGTCTTTCTTCATGCTTAGACATTTTTGGCAGTCTTCCGATAGTTTTTGTAGTGTTAATCCAGGTTCATTTTGCAGTTTTGAAAGCATTCTTTTGCGCATTTCGCTATCCTTTGCTGAGACTAACCCTTGTACAAAAATAAGACACTTGAAATTGTCCAGGGTTAATTCTGCCAACTTGAAGTCGTCGCAATGTTTATTCACGATTGCGACGAACGTAGAATAGTCCTCATTTTCATCCTTTACGAGGTTAAAACATTTCCACCTTTTGTGAAAAAGTGACGTTTTCGGGCTGAAAAGCTCCGTCAGGCATGTAACTGCTTCATCAAACGTTAAACTATTTGTCTTTCTTGGCAAAATGTAATCCACAAATTTTGTGTATTCATCCGTTCCTAATTTCCTGGGTAATAGTCGTAACTTCTTTGCTTCCGTCCAGTTTTGACAATCGATGTTGAAGTTGTCTTCATGACGTCTAAAAAAGTGCCCGAAATTTTTATTCTCTTCTAAGGAGTATTTGAATGTTTCTATTGCGTTCCCTACTGCGTCTTGAGAAAAAGTTGCCTCTTTTTCAATATTTTGTTGTTGTGTATTACTCGCTACTTTTACAATTACCCCCCCTGGAATTGTATTTGTCTTTCTTCATTTTGCATTTGTCTTTCATGATTTTCCTTATGCGTTTTTAGTAATATTTTTCCATCCTTTCTTGGAATTGTAATTGCTGTTCATTTTGTCCTTGAAGTTGTATTTGCTGTTCATTTTCTGATTTTACAAGTTCTACTTAAATACTTTTAAAATCCTCAATGATAAGAGTCGTACGAAAAACTCATTTTTCCGTATTTTAATCCTCGTAACTCTTTGTTACCCAGTTGTTGTGGATACTGGCAAAAACGACAGTTTTCTCTTTTGAGTCTCCGAGAAGTGAAAATTATAAGCTGTTATGGTGAGAAAAGAGAATTTTTTTCTTTCCGTGGAGGTCCCAATTCCTCGTCACCGAGTTGTGGTCGGCAAGAGAGAATTTTTCTTTGTTCTCTTCCTGTGTGAGTTCGAATTTCCTCGTCGCCAAGTTGACGAGGGAAAATTTTGTCTTTTTTTTCTTCCCGTGTGAGTTCGATATCCTCGTCGCCAAGTTGTTGTGGATTCCGGGATGATATCCGGTACCAATAAATAACAAACGCCAAGAATTAATATAGGAAAATAATGTATTGACGTAATAATACAACTGGAAATGCAGGTTAGTAGTTCCAGGAATACGGGTTAGTAGCAAAATATCTATACAGTCTTTGGTATTGAAATATAGTTGTATGACTTCTTACTGAGCCTACGTGCTCGCTCACGGTGACTCTTGCTCACTAAGTTCTTTCTATCTGTCTGTCTGTCTGTTACCTTCACCCTCTGTTGCTCTCGTCTCTTGGGTCTTCACGTAGCAGTAGTATATGTATATACTGGGTGAGTCCATTTGTGTAAAAAGGGGAGAACCCCTCAACAATAGCAGCGACTGAATCAGCAAAAAAATGTGCCCAAAGATACCGTAACTTTTCACCTTGTGGAGAAAACCTAAGTATTAGACCCTGTCAAAGGCTTCCTATATGTCAAATACTACAGCCCAGGCTGTAGAATTGGACATAACGTTTTTTATCTAAAGCATAAGAGACTCTTTCCGTAATTATCGTTAGCACATCAGCAGTTGACCTGAAAAAAATGAGAGATGATGATGTAATTCAACATTGATTATGGCCTTTAAGAGTCTCCCCAAAAAGCAGAATGCTAATAAGCCAACAGCTCGATGGATCGGGCGGTTCACAAGAACTGGAAAAAGAGATGATGAATTCTAGCAAAGCGGAAATGCAGAAGACAGCGTGACATTTATACAGTTTAGAGAAAACGAGACTTAGTTCGAGAGCACACTTCTTAATGACTATTACAGGGATACAATTGGGTTCATATAATTTGTGGGGATCTAGGTTAGAGATGATAGCAGAAACCTTGGAAGGGATTATATGCGTACCACTTAACAGAGAATCAGTTCTAAGTGGGTAGTTAAGCAGGATTACTCCACATAAGTCAAGAGTAGAGTTTGAGGAGAATTTGCAGGCAAAGCATTCAGCTTCATCAACAGAGGATAATAACACCTCAAATCGATTGAAGAAGGTGGGACATACACACCTTGTACTTATTTACTACTCTATTATAGAGCCGCCATTAATCACGAGGGACAACGTTTTAGAGGTCATGCGGTGTCCCATTCTTTTAGAAAACAGGGACTTAGCCCCTTCGAGGATTCTCTTACATTTGTTTCGGGCAATAGCAAATAATCCCTTGATATGACGAGAGCTGTCACTCTTGTATAGTCGGAAATAGTGGTTCCTGTGTGCTATAGCGGCCCAAATACTGCTGTGAACCATTGAGAGGATTGCGGTCTCACCTGATATTTCTGAGATGAAAGCATCCATGCCGTCTTTGACACATGAGAAAGCCACACTGGCGCAATTTTCACTTGGGAGGTTGAAGATATTAATCTATGAAGCGTCAGTAAGAAAATCCCAGAATGAATCCCAATCAGCATGCTGATAACGGAAAGAGGTTTTATGGCTAAGGGTGTCCTGTTTAATGGATGCTTGGGAGGAGATATCAATAACTACTAAAGAGTGGTCCGAGTTACACAGAGGGTAGTATTGCGAAGCGCAGCAAGAAGAGGTAAGAAATCGATCCAGTAGAGAAGTCTATTGCTCGGTTTGGCTTGGAAAATGATTAGAGAAGTCCACGATTTGAGTGAGGAACTGGGTTAATGGAAACATTTAACCTATGTATACCAGCAACATCAGTAACTTTAGATTTTCCCGCCACATGCCGTGTTGGGCATTAATGTCAGTGAAGACAAAGATGTTCGCAGATGGACCGAGAGAAAGTGCTTTTTCTTTACTGTTAGCTATTTCGTCTATATATATATATATATATATATATATATATATATATATATATATATATATCATTGAATACGACAGACAAAGTGCTTTTATTTAGTTTCATGCAATTTCTCATGCGATCTAATATTTATTTTTCTTTTCGAATGATAAATTCTATAAAAACTGTTCTTTTTATCCAAGCAATTTCGGCTATACATTTAGCCATTTTAAGGATTAAATATTTTAACTGTTAAATAAGAAATAGTTTCTTGTATGTATGTTTTATAAAATGTTTTCCTTTTACAAAACACACACACACACACTTATATATATGCATTTTATTGAATAGGACAGACAAGGTGCTTTTATTTAGTATTTATACAATTTCTCATGCGATCTAATAATTTTATATATATATATATATATATATATATATATATATATAGAGAGAGAGAGAGAGAGAGAGAGAGAGATAGATAGATAGATAGATAGATAGATAGATAGATACGCAATAGAGTTTTATGACAAGATTATAATTTCTTCCATGCGACATTCTATCATGCATATTATTTAATTAAATATATAGATTTGAGTAGATAGATAGATAGATAGATAGATAGATTATACGCGTATATAGACACGGGTAAATTGACTGATTCATTAAAATGTTGTGTGTCAATTATAAGAAGTTCTCTTTTGATATCAGTTCTTAAACACAGAACAATTTCACTGGTGCTTGGTTCAACTGACAAACGTAATCAAAGTACGAAAGGCCGAATGGTGGAAATAATCATTCCTATTTTCCTCCTTACACCCCAAGAATATAATCGTTGGTTGATTATCAGTAATTGTCTGTAAAGACGAATCTATTGGCTGCAAATGAAAATCGAACATTCTTACTCTTTTGCCTTACTATGCTGAATTTTAAGACCATGTTCCCGGCAGACGAATGTCCTATCAGCTTAAAATGTTACGAAACTGCCGAGATGTTAGGAGAGTGGAAGTCAATGAAATCAAGAAGATGCAGTCGACGCTACAATGATCAATAGTTTTCCTTGCCGAAAGCAAGTAGAGGATGAAATCAATTTCTGGTTATTATATTTCATAGTTAATCTACGAAAAAATTGAGATCTTGGTTCTTTAGAGTATTAATCTCACAAGTGGATATATATATATATATATATATATATATATATATATATATACTCAGAGAGAGAGATAGATAGATAGATAGATAGATAGATAGATAAGAAAGAAAGACTGAGATAGATAGATAGATAGATAGATAACAAAGAAAGACTGGGATAGATAGATAGATAGATAGATAGATAGATAACAAAGAAAGACTGGGATAGATAGATAGATAGATAGATAGATAGATAGATAACAAAGAAAGACTGAGATAGATAGATAGATAGATAGATAGATAGATAGATAGATAGATAGATAACAAAGAAAGACTGGGATAGATAGATAGATAGATAGATAGATAGATGAATGTGTGTGTGTGCATCTGTGTGAGGAAAAGAGAAAGAGACGTTATAGTGAGAAAGTGAATGAATACATTTTATTTAGAAAAAAGAGATTGATAATTTTCTTATTTTAAAGTGGTGAAAGATGCTTTGTGTATATATATATATATATATATATATATATATATATATATATATATATATAGGAAGAAAGAAATGGCTAACCGTGTACATATGTTCTGTAGTTTTCGGGGCTTAGTATATAATACTCTTTGTGTTACTTTTGATTCTTGAAATGAAAAGGAAATAGGATCATTGAAGGAAGAGAATATACCTGAAAGCTTTCTTACGAATTCTTGCAAACATCAGAAGAAAAAAAAAGATTCCTTTCTGGGATCACCTTCAAAGAAATGTTGATAACAAGGATCGAACTGAGATAAGCAATAATTGAATAACGTCTATAGACTAAGGAAAACATCTGTTATAACGACCTTAAAGATTTCCATAGTCTAATAATTAGCGTGCTGGTTTAGCAAATCCTCACTTGGAATCAAAACATATGGCCTTTTGTCATACTAATTGAATAACCAGATATTTGCCTCGTTTTTGCATAATGATACTTAGAATATAATTATGATAAAGTATTATTAAAGCATACAGGGAATCAATACAAAAGCTATAAATACTCTAATGTCTGAGATGAAGCTGCTACATTTCCTTTGATAAACTATGATACGATCGTTTATGTTGTTAGAAACGAATCAAAGAATACAAAGGTGTAAGAATTCGAAGAAGACATGAGGAAAATAAACAAAATACCAAACTGTTTTGGGTTTTATTCGATCAAAATAATCTATACTACGTTTGGTTTTTTTTTTCCCATAACTGACAGACAGTTTGTTTTTCGCAGTGATATCGTCATTTGTGTCTCGTGTTATTATTATTATTATTATTATTATTATTATTATTATTATTTTCTTTGATCTTTGGAGTATACTCATTTTTCCGGGTCCCAACCTAAGGCCAGAAATGGCATCATGACATTTTCCACTGAGCATTTTTTGAGGAAAATGAAAAAAAAGGCCACACACATTTTACATAGATAAATACCTTCGTAAGTTGTGGGCTCTACATCTGAGTACAATAGTTTGTATTTCTTTAAAGCTTGGACTGCCAGAAATACCTTCAATGAGCCTATTTTTACAATCAATGCGAGGGCTCCAACTACAACTGAAATTGTTGACTTCCTCATGTGCCACATTTTTGAGATTTCGATTTCAAGGTCCTTGTATTTTGATAGTATTTTTAAAGATCTTCAAAGATACATTACATTCTGCAGGGACTGCCATGTCAATACTAAGGTACATTTTGTTTTTGCGGTCTCAGATCACGATATCTGGGCGATTAGCTTTGATTGTTTTGTCTCTATGCATTGTAAAGTCCCAATTAAGTTGTTACATGTCCTATCGCTGTAATCGAGTCTGGGTGGTGTTTATACCAATTTCTTGCAGTTTTATTTCCGTGAAAGTTTCATATTTTCCAGTGCAGATATTGGCCTACTCTGTCATGCCGGGTTTTTCTATTCAGTGGGTGCCAATACCGTGCAAACTGATACAAGATGATCAATTGTTTCTTGATATTTATCACAGAATCTGCATTTTGGGATAATACAATTTTTCAGCATGTGTGCTTGGTAATTTCTAGTTAGCAAGCATTGGTCCTGTGCAGCAAGAATAACACATTATTTGGTTTCAGCATTTAAAACTGTACTACGTAGCCACTGATGGTTACAGGGTTTGTCTACATTAGATTGTTTGGTACGAACTGAATATTGACCGTGAAAAGGTTTATCTAGTATCAAACGCACTCTTCATTTATATTCTTTTCAAATCTTTTTCTTCATAATCGAATGTTGTATTCCACCTTCTTCATTAATTCCTAAGTATTTGTATGTGCCATCTTGGTTTAGTTCCTTAATCTTGTTGTTGTGGTTATGTCATAATTTTGCAATTTCGAATTGCTCAGTACGCCGCTTTGAAGAAGGCGGCCTGACTCGTCTTATAAGAATAATGTCAAGGCTTCATTTCAGCTGTCTCCTTTTTCTTTCTTTCATTTTGGATCCCTTGTCTACTTCACTTAAAAGTGACAATGGTCCTTATAGTTTATTTATTTCGATTTCTGTTATTTCTTTCCTGACAGGTATATTTCTTTTCTGTTTACGTTGTGTTTTTACTTTTTCACCTATTGTTTCTGTGAACGTTGCCGAGGTTACGTATATATGATGATTAATTTCTGCCAGGTCCATCGGTCTTTCCATTTCTTCCCTTATTTTTCTAATTGCTTGGTTGGCAAGGTTGATGGCTTCCTTCACTTGACGGTTCTTTCTTACTTTTGGAATTGTCGACGTTTCCTGTAAAGACATTTCCTTTACATTCTCTCATTTATATCAGAAGTTTTTGTCATCTCTGTTTCTCTTTCATATTCTTCATTATCTTCCTTTATTTGCTTGTGTACCCCAGAAAGATTATTATAACTGGTTTCTGTTTGTTCCTCTGCATCTGTCTCCTCTAGGTTGTTGGCATTTAGCCCCTCGATTTTAACGTTTACTCTATTTTTTATGTTTTCTCGGATGCTTTCAAGTTCTACGTCAAGTATTCTTTTCTCATGATGATGTCACGCCTGACATTGGCTAGTTTGTTGACATCGATGTTTAGTCTGTTTGTTTTTTTTCTACAGATATTATAGTTAGCTTTGGTCATTATTGTCGTTGTCGGATTTATCGTAGCAGTGTAAAATGCTATCATTACTTCAATATACTTTTCTGGAGACCATTTATTTATTGTTCTTTATGTGGAATTTTCTTTTAATGAATATAGAGGGCCTCTTTGAGGATTGTCCTCGGTGTGGTTTTCCTCTTGTTCTCGTTGGGTAGAGTTTGTTCCAGTTACAGACTTTTCGAACTTAGTCTGAACGTCATTGGGAATCGCGGCTCTTGTTGATCTGCGTGACGACAGATGCGGTTTAGCAATAATTTTCGTTGTATCAGCATTATAGTTAGCTCGTATTTACTCATACGTCGGGGATGGTTTATGGGCGCATACCCATACTATGGTAAGCTATCCCATTTTAGGGGGACAGGCATGATCCTGTTATTTTTATTTTTTTTACTATCGCTATTCTTAACAGCAACAACAGTAAAATCTTCATTTATAAGCTTTGGGATCCCAAGGAGACATGACGTGCTTCACCAGACTCCGACATAACTTCAATTTTCATCGGAATTTTCTTTGACTTTTCTCTTTTCTCACTTATGTTCAATAATACGAAACTATTTTCAAATCTCCTTAATCCTGTTATTACACCAATATATTTTACGCATAAACACAATTAATAATTAATTAATAATATTTAATTAATAATATTTAATTAATAATATTTAAAGAAAAGTTTATTATGAAATTTTGTATTGTATGGCTTATAAAATAAAAATTGTATGTAAATTACTAATAAATAAATACATAAGAAGAGAACATTAAAAAAAATAACGAAGTCACCACAATCACCACCAATATCATCATCACCACAATTACTACTACTACTACTATTGCATTCCTCTTTGTCTCTCTTTCTTCTTCCTATCTATCTATCTATCTATCTATATATCTCCGGGATTATTTATATTTCAACTTTCTTTAAACGCACAATATTTTATATATTAAAAAATATTTGCAAGTGAATATGAATTAAAAATATTTTTAGGCATATTAAAAGAATATTTTTGAATTAATCGAATTTAAAAATCTTTTAATTGAATAAAATTTAAGAATACGAGTTGTTTCCACAGTAAGTATTTTTATTTCAATTTTCTTCAGACAGATAATTTTTTTTTTCCAATAACTTTTTATAATCTGAACTGTCAGTGACCCAACGGATCTATTTGGTAATAAGGGTCTAATAACTGTCTCATGCTCCCCCGAATCAGGTAAAAAAATAATATTTGCGTCAAAAATTATTAAAAGTAATAGGTACCAATTACTTATTAGGTATATCAACAAATAATATAACTTAGTAACATATCTTTAAAATTAAAATATTATTAATCTAAAATTTAATTTTAATTTGCGACTTTATACCAATCAATGTACATATATACGCTTGCATATATACATACATACACATAAGTATACATAGATATATATACATATAAATACAAATATAATATTATTATCATTATTATTATTACTACAATTATTCTTCTTCTTATTATTATTGCCTTCTGCTTCATTTCTTCTTCCTATCCGCAGTATATGTCTTGTAAAACTTAGCAATTTGTTTAAATGACTGAGATGAGGAGGAGATGCTTTTGTAATTCAAATAAAGACGCCGTTAAAAGAAACAGCTATCTCTATAACCGGGTCTGGATGATTTTTCATACCAGTTTCTTGCAGTTTCATTCCAAGAAATGTTGCATATTTTCCAGTGCAGTTATTGACCCACTCTATCGAGCTGAATTTTATGTTCAGTGTGTGCTAACACCATGCAACCTGATAAAAGATGGTCAATTGCTTCTGGAGATTTATCACAGATATTTCAGATTAACAATTTTTCAGTATTTCATCACAGAATCTGTATTTTTCATCATTATTATTATTATTATTATTATTATTATTATTTTTGCGTGAAATAGCAGCTGACCATCAAAGTGAGGTTGGGGCACAAATATACGAATCATTATTTACTCATGACCCCCAGTCTGACGAGGATATAACAGCCACATGCGTTAGAGCCAAATATGCTCGATATGGTGACGAGGTTTCATAAAGATAGCGTACAACTTGACAATTGGGACTTAGTTAGAAATATGTCATGGTTGATTAAATATGTCCGCTCTGATTGTCTTCGATTGAGGGTGTTCCCAAGTTTCTAGATCCGATGCTCAAGCCGAATGAATTAACTCCTCCTTCAAACTTAAAACAACAACACTCTATACACCGATCCATGATACTCCTTACACTACTCCCGCCATTAATGAGCAGAAATGCGATGTACTCCAGACTCTACGAAGTGGGGGACATGTCAAGGTCAGCTAAGGTCAAGCAGTTAACAAGAAGATTTGTTGGATTGAACGGTATACTTATTGTAGCCTATCTTATTTACAGTGATGTTCACCCTGTACAAAGCCCGGTAGCCACTCAAGGTAGAGGGTAGAGAGTAAGCGGCACAGTTTATGTGAATATATGGTGAATATAACGGTTAACCCTAGACTTGAATAGGTTTAGACTGAAGAGATCGGGGAAGCACCCTATTGGGAGTTAAATCCACAGAGCAGCCGCGAGCGAGAAGAAGCTTCTTAAGTAAAACTTATATCTCACAAATGGAATACGTAGCATGGTGGGTCTTAACCGTAAAGGTTAGAACTGGTAGAAGTAAGGAATCTAGTTTGTCTGAGCACTTTCCTTGGAAATAGCGATAGAGCAG